TTGATGGTTTGGAGGAAGTAATTATTGAAGTTAACTCAGAAAGATCAACTGTTATGAAAGTATTGTAATATCAGTGGCATTGGATTTGATATTTTCTCTAATGGTTAAAATGTTACTTTACTAGTTAATGTTAAAGGAATAGTTGGCTCAACAGCATTTTTGTCAGCCTGGAGACGAACCTGATGTTCTTTTCATCAATCACTGATGAAAAGAACATCAAGATATTGGAGCTTTACAGAGGCCCGTTTTGTTGAAGAGCAAGTTCTACCAGGGACTCACGTACTTGTGATCTGAGGCATTTGTTTTCAGAGGACCCAGTATCCAGAGTCCTTGCACAGAAGATGTAAAATTATTAACATGATCAATCTCTTTGCGAGTTCAGGTAGCTGCTCTGAGCTGTGGTGGTACACAGCAACAAGAAATCCTTTGACTTAGTGACAGCACTTTCAGAAAGTCGTCTGCTGTGATGACGTATGTTACCCACTGCTGTGGAATCCATTATTGTAGATTTTAATGTTATTAAGAAATAAATGAGGGCTTCAGGGATTATTATTAAATGATGTTCAGTTTCTATGGCACAAATGCCAGAACAGAGCTCATTACTGTAGTATCTCTACATTAAAATATGTGCTTTGAGGTGACTGTTGGTGCTGCATCAATAAACTAATCGATCTAATAGATTAAATGTACTGTTGATGTTATTTTCTGCATTTACACGAATGTTTAAATCTGCCATTGAAATTCTTTTTCTGAGCAAAGCACAAAATCACAGAAGTCTTTTTCATTTATGCGACTCTTTCCAAATGTAAACAAACTGAGGCATCATCGTGATGTCACCAGGACGGGCTTAAAATGAGTTCATGCCAAAACTAGAAACATTGATTTATTGTAAAACAAACATCCACGTTTTGTCAGACAGACGTGTGGACTTTTCACGTAAAGTTTAAACAGAAGCTGAACTTCAGACTCGCTGTGGTGCGATGAGCCAGCAGTGACACCAGTGCTGGGCTGAATGTTTCAGAGCTCACACAGGAGCCAGAAGCATTTTCATTTAGGAATAATGCATAAAAGTAAACGAAATATCAAATCTAAGAATGGACTAAAACATATTCATCTGTGTTGATTTCAGCTTGGATTTAAACATGTCTGTCTCCCATGTTCTTCTTCTACCTCCTCCTGTCATCGTCTCTGTCTCTCTCCCTTCGCCTGTCATCTCTGTCCCGATCTGCGTCTCTTCTTCTTTCTCTTTCCGTCTCTCGTCTTCTATCATTATCTCTGCTTCTGTCATTCTCCCTCTCGTGACCCCTCTTCTTTTCTTCCTCTCTCTGCCGATCTGCGTCTCTCCTCCTCCTCTCCTCCTCTTCCTCCCCTCTCAGTCTCTCGTTGTGTCTCGCTGTCTGTCCATTCGGTTGTCCTCCTGGCTTTGGCGGCGGCCCTCTCTGGTTGTATTTGTCGTACCCGGCGTCCTCTTTCTCCTCTTTGACTCTGACTGAAACAGGAGGTGGTGATGAAGAAGAGGCTCTGCTCTTCCTGTCCTTCTTCTTCTCCTTCTTCTTTTTCTTCTTCTCTTTCTTGTCTGAAACAGAGAGCGCAGAATGAAGATAAATAAAAATCCACCTCATCTTGTGTCAGGCGGGTTTCACACGACAGGATGTGACCTCACCTTTCTTGGGCTTCTTCACAGGTACGGCGTACTGCTCGTCATCCTCAGAGGAGGGGGAAGACTCGCCGACTTTGGGAGCGCAGCCCTCCTCCCTCAGATGCTTGGTCACGTCGTCGATGTCCTCGCCGTCTTTGGGGGGTCGGTAGTCTTTGACGTGGTCAACACGAATCGTGCGACCTTTGATCTGACAGCACAAACCAACAGTCAGAGATCAACTCTCACTGGAACCTTTAAAGTCCTGAAGTCAATCGAACAACCAGCGAGCGCGTCACAAACAGCTGATAGTTTACGTACATTAACTCCAGCTTCACACGTTGAATATTTGCAGACTCACACTTGACAACAACATTAACAGGAATTAAAATTCATCGTTCAGTCTCTGAGCCAGAGCTGAGACTGGCCTTTACTAACGGCCTTCATATGAGTATTTAAATAAGTCTGTCATCTGCTGCCTCACATCCATGTAGGAAAATGAGGTTCATGATTGTTTCTCTAGTCTGACATCATGATCTGGCTTCTTTTAATAGAAAAATCAAAGTAAAAACACTCCCAGGAAAAAGGTTTTCTGTCAACACAGGAGCTCCAACCCTCTGGATGTTTCCGTTTTCTGATAATTTGCTGGAAAAAAAAGAAAAAAAAAAAAACTGCCTTCTGGGTCATGTGACCATGTGGAATAGATGTCGGCTCACAACAAGCTCGAGGACATGAACGTTTAAATCTACATGAGTCAGGTGGCGTATCCTGTAGCCACGACTCCTTCAGGGCCATTAAAACAACATTAGTGTTCACCTGCTCCTCATCATAGTTCGGACAGACCACGCTGATGACACAACTTTACATCCGAAATTTTACAATTTCTTAAGAAACATGGATCATCATCTCTGCAGCTGTTCCCTGTAAAACTCTAGTAAAGTGAGTAAAAGGGATGAAGCACAAAAAGGCCCCGCGTGCCCGATACCCTCGAAAAACCTTCAGGATCTAAAGTCGTTCTGTCAGTGTGATTATGGTGCTACAAGGTCAGGCTGTGCAGCGAGTTTCTAGGACGTCCTGATAATAATGAATCACAGTCGTCCAGCCTGGAAGTAATAAATGCAGGAACTAGTTTTTCAGCGTCACTCTGAGACAGGATATTTCTAACTTTAGAGATGTTGCACAAATGGAAGAACGCAGTCTTACATATTTGTTTAATATGTGCATTGAAGGACATGTCCTGGTCAAACATGACTCCAGCATTTCTTAAATCATTAAACTGTAGTTGAACTTTATTTGTGTCATCTGGTGGCTGGATAAATACAGCTGGGTATCATCTGCATATCAGTGAAAGCAGATGTAGTGTTTTCCCGTCTAACACAAACAGTATCATTAGACACACAGGACTCTGTGGACCTCCATGACTGACTTCTGTGTCAACAGGAACAAACTGCGACCTACGAGTCAGACGAGATTCAGAGCAGCGCAGCAGAGTGTGTCCTTTCACCTTAATGCTGTTGAAGTTGTCGACGGCCAACACGGTGCTCCTCTGGTCCTCATAGCAGATAAAACAGAAACCTTTGGACTTTCCGGTCTTCTTGTCACGCACGAGGTTGATGTTGACGATCTCTCCATACCTGACAGGACAAAGTCAATCTTGGTGCTCCCCATCTGTCAGTAGTGTAGTTAAGAAATGATGAGGTACTTACTGAGAGAAGACACAGATCAGGTCTCCTTCAGTCAGCTCGTATGGAAACCCTCCTGCAGAACATCCAAAACGCTGCTTATTCATTCTCCAAAAACCTTTCATTACTTCATCACTAATGTCAGCAACATAAACACTGCAACAACACAAAACATCCAGCAGATGCACACAAAGCAACACTGCTGTTTCCAGTATAAACACCTTTATTAAAGCTGAAGATACCATGGTGGGTAATGATTCAGAGCGTTTCATGTAAAAGGAATATTTCCAAAAAGCCAAGTCTTCATCAAACCCCTTCTCCAGAGGTGTGACTATGAAACAGCATTTGTGGTTTTTAAACTAGCTTCACTTTGGTGTTACAAAAGTGGTTCATTATTACCACCTCAGTAACTTATGCTTATGACGCACAGCTAACCTGCTCCAGAGCGCGTGATGTTCAAGATTATAGGTCAGCTGGTAGGAACTCACCATCACCTGACCAATCAGATCTCTGAACAGCAGCTTCACCATCGCTGGAATCACTCAGAGTACAGATTTTAAGGCGGTCTGAGGGTTTTTGTATTCGATTTTAAGTGGGAATTTTCCACACAGACTACACGATCTGAGATGTCTCATGGATCTTCCAGATTGAGTGAAGTCATTTTCCAGAGATCTGATTGGTCCGTAGGGACTATTTTTTGATACCCGTCGATCATTTATCTGGAACAAATGAAATATCAGTCTATGAAAAACCTCTTAAGCTCACTAATACATGACACGTGGAGCTTAAGCCGATCAAAAAGTTTGTGCTGCAGAGACAGAAACTTTGAAGCAGAAATGACAACCAATGGGAGCACAGGACATCCCTGACTGACCAATGACCTTGGCAGACTGGTGACCACCTGTCAGCCAAGAGGCAAAGGATGGTGAATGATTGAGTCATGTGAGGATGTGGCTTCTAAAGAAAAGCCTTTGCTTCCTCCCAGATTACATTTTCCCCTCAACTTTAAACTAATGATTATTTTCATTATCTGCTCATCTGTGGATTATTCAGTTTGTCACGCAGTCTCACCAACAAAGACCCAGGCGCTGTCTTTGTACTCGCTGTGCCAGGAAACGGACTCGTTGACCCCGAGGCTGGCTTCACGCTCGTTCAGCTCGTTTATCAGCTTTACCTTCGTTAGAGGACTGAAAACAGAGAGAAAACAAAGTGTTTCCTTTTCAGAATCCTGGTTCATAATCTGTAATTAATATGTGACAGTCATCTGCTTTCATCTCGTACAACCCAGCGTTTAAGTTTTATTTCTGCAAGGCTAAATTTGAGGATTTGGAGAAGAAACATGAGCTTAATCATATGAGTTTATAATAAAAAGGCAAAAATATAAAAAGACATAAGCCATAAACAGTAAAATATAAAAGAAATGTAATTTAAACCTAAACATAAGGCACAAACAGAACTGATTTTAAGACCACTGATTCCAGATATGTGGAGCGCAATGACGTCTGTTTCTACAGACCAAACTCCATTCAGATTATGACTGATTTAAAGCCCCGTGAACACACTGACAGGAACGCAACACGGGTGTTTGTGCTCTGTGAAGCTCTGATTCGTTTTTATTTTAGTGAGCTAACACACATCCCGCAACGGTAAAGAAAATCGCCTATCGCCAAAACAGGAGGCGATGATCACCTCTTCAAACTCTGGTCCAAGCTTCATTTTATGCTATTTTACTGAATGCCGAATTGAAATAAGGCTCCTGTAATTGTATAATAACCGCAGAAAGTGTGTCTGATTATTTTATGGGGAAAAGTTGGTGGAAAATAAACATAAAATCTCAGGTTTTCTGAATGGATTCTGGGAGACGAGATTGTACATGAAGAAGTACTCAAACAATCTTCATGCTGGCGCTTTTGGTAGCGAATAGTCATTTTCGAATGGCTATAATCATTACCGAATAGTTGTCATTGATCAGTAAACGATAAAAAAAAACTTAAATTAAACGCTTAATAAGAAAATAATTACTTACTTCATGATCGACTATACGGTTTGTACATCAACGCTGTGCTGAAAAGGGCTAATCTCAGGCAGAAACAACTTCCGTTTGAATTTCCGCCTCTGCTAGTGCTGCCCCCTGCTGTTAGGATGTCTTTAAAACGAGCTACATTTACACGGCTAAATGTCTAAACTGTCATTAGTGTGAGTGACACTAATTGATATTGATAGAAAGACGATGTAGCTATAAAGGCTATTTATGGGGTTACATTTCTAAATATTTTAACTTAAATTATCCTCCCGCACTGCTGGCGGCGCTGTGCGCTAATTGCGAGGTGATGACGCGGTTTGTAAACACTAACCTGTCAACTGAGATGCTCTTGTGGTGTGTGTGTGTGTGTGAACTACCCGGATAGCCGGGATCTAGCTTACAAACGAACTTTTTTAAATTTAAATTTCACCTTTTAACATCTTATTTTTGCCGTTTTGAGTTAATAAATGCTGGGTTAGCTCACTCGAATTCCCAGTTACGATCAGTAAATTAGCTTTCCTTGCCAGTCATGGCTTCCTAGGGATAAAAAAAGGTTAAAAGAAACCTTTTTACTTTTTTATTTATTTTTACATCTGTTTCCCCGGAGGCCATCTGTGGGTGAGTAAATCAGTAACTGCTATTAACCTCAGCTTTACAAAATGAGCGTGAAAAGCTCATTTCCGCATGCTAATGGCTTTAGACTGAGGTCGCTTACAGTTTCCGTCATTTTAAAATATTCTTTCACTTCTTCTAGCACATGCACGCATTAAAATCACATTTAAGGGTTTCTCGGATTATTTTGGTTCTAAAATCAAATTCGGCATAAGAATCATTAGAGCTGATTAAGGACGAAATATTTTATTGTCACCTGGGTGTTTGCATGAGGAGCTCTGAGCCTGAGGAAATCAAATCGTGGCCTCAGGTACTTAAAGTCTCCTCTTTAAAAAAACAACTTTTTCCTGATTGTACTCGATTTTATCTCTTTTCAGTGTTTTTATTTAGTTACCGAGTTCTGTCACTTCATGCCTTTTTTGTTTGCAACATAATGAATTCATATAAGTAAATAAAGACGATTATTATTTTCTCATTTCTCCTGTGTGTCTCTCAGCAGGATGATCTCTCAGGTCTTCATCTTGTCCTCGAAGGGGGACCATCTCATTTATAAAGACTGTATCCTTCTGTTCCCACAGCTGGAAACAGCTCAGGACAAATGAAAGCTGTATGAATAACTGTATTAGTCCCCCATTAAGTAAACTTGAATTGTAAATATATTTCGGCAGTGCCGGACCTCCATACTGTCGGCTGTATGGGGACAATTCTGAATCTGAAGATGTGCTTTATTTATTTTGTGTGTAAACATCAACCTTGACCTGACCCACCAGTCCGTGGAGGAGCTGGTAACGACATTGTCAGTATTTTCTACGAGAAGGTCACGGCGCTGACCGGAGACCAGCCTCCGGTCGTCATGGTAAATACATTATGGCTTCTTTTTATTGAGACACGCATACCTGCTGATTAATGCTCAGGACCATCCAAACACACAAAGTGGAGCTCAGACTTTTTGAAGGGTTTGTTAGAACAGTTAACCTGACAGCAGTTAGATTATTGGTCCGTGTGAGTGACTCGGACTCCACATGATGTTCTGGTGTCTGTTTTGGTTCATTTTATGTGTTTCCATGACGTGGTCAGCGTTCCAGCAACATCTGCTCTCTGTCCGGACTTTGTCCAGTCAGCTCATAATTAAAAACATTTAAACCAACAATGAGCAGCTTGTTCTCAGATTTCAGAAGAAGGAGTCATTATGTTTGGTTATAATGCCAGTTGTTTTCTCCTCATGTCTGGTTAAACATCTTTTGTTTTCCTGCAGAATCATAAGGATATTTACTTCGTCCACATCAGGCAGGGAGGACTGTACTGGGTCGCCACGACCACGGCGGGCTCCTCGCCGTTCACCATTACCGAGTTTCTCAACAGGTATGAGGTCATCCGTAAGCTGACTGCTTGTGTTTGAGGATGGCTGTGACCTCAGACAGTTTGAGGCTCTGCACCTGATGGTGTTACAGCTCCTGAGCTGACGGAGCATGCTCTTTGTTGCAGGTTAGCAGCTCTGGTTAAAGATTACTGCGGCAGCCTATCAGAGAAGTCGGTGCAGATGAACTTCGCCCTCATCTACGAGCTGCTGGACGAGATCGTGGTGAGTCTCTGTGCTGCCACCCTTTTGGCTACAGGTGGTGCTGTAAAGTTTTAATATATGTAAAGAAGGACGTAGCCTCAAACCTGCACTCTTACAGATATCCACCTGGGGAAGACTCTGGTCTGATTGTGAAGAAGTCTTTGTGAAAATGAACGTATCGCACGTTTTCTGTGACCTCTGTTAATGCTTCACTGATGAGTTCATGATCTCATTAATTTCCCATGGATTTTCTTCCAATTATCCAAAGTCGTTTTTCACATCGGACAAACTTATATGAACCTTTTCCCGTTGGTGTGGAAGCAGGTTTACAGCGAAGAGGTAAAAACATGAGCTGTGGGTGGAGCAGCACGTTTTCCTCTTCTGTAGTGCAGATTTAGCACCTCCTGCTCCGTCTCTCTTAGAGGGAAACAAGCATTTAGGCTGCGCTCACTCTGCAGGTCTTGATGCTCAATTCAGATGTTTTTGTCTGCTCGTTCACACTACAAATAAAATGCCACAGCAAACGCGCTCTAGTGTGAACGCTCAAAGCGCCGCATGCGCAAAAGAAGACGTCACACACAACGCGCTCTGTTTAGACCCAGAGCAACAGCATGTGTGACTGATGGCCTTAATATAAAGACTTTACGTTTCACGATTTTTGCTTTAAGTTATTTAGTTATTTACATAATAATGTGAATAAGCTAATAATGATCCTTGTTGCTGTTTCAGAGGATCAGAATCTGCAGATTATACAGAACAAATAAAATGTTCACGTTGTCTTCCCAACAGTTTCACTGACATCTACACCGGATGGCCAGGAAGCGTTCGCGATGTCTTCTCGGGCGCTGATAATTGGCGTCTGTCTTGTGTCAGTGACGTAAAAGACGGATTTAATGCGACCTGACCATCAAACAGCAGTCGCTTTATAAAACATCAGATATGTATCGATTCAGGACCACATACGAAAGTGACCCAGATCGGATTTGAAAATATCGATTTGTGTCGTTCACACTGTCACCATGATGGGATAGATGTGAACGCAGCTTTAGTCACATTTTCGTTTGATGAACCTCTGCTCGTGTAAACACCGTCCTCTCCTTCTGTCTGTCAGGACTACGGTTACATCCAGACGACTTCCTCTGACGTCCTGAAGAACTTCATCCAGACCGAAGCCGTCACCTCCAGGCCGTTCAGCCTGTTTGACCTCAGCAATGTCGGCCTGGTACGGTAGCACCGCCTCGCTTGCTTGCTTTGTTTTCTTGACATTAGCTTCGAGGGGAACCGCAGCCATCTGTCCTCAGGAGGCATCAAAGTCACATTTTTGTTTTCAGATCATTCAAGGTGATTTGGCCCAGAGGAATAACAACTGTCATAGCAACAGGATTAAAAACAGGAGTTTCGGCTGAATCAGGTGTTCAGGACGTTTGCTTCACAGTCAGAGGCTTTGGGCTTTTTTTCTAAGGCAGCAGAAAACAAACATGTGAGCCGAGGTCCGTTCGTGCTTTGTAAATCTGTCCTTAGACACACGGATGGATGTAATTTCCTCCGGCTGTCTGGTCTTAATGAGGCTCTGGCTGAACTGCAGACGATGTTAGAGTCGTCTAACCTGCCGAAGAAAATAATCTGAGCCATGTTTTTAAGGTCGGTCTTCTTGGTTCCATAATGTCTCGACACAACTGCCTGTTTTGTTTTCTTCCTCCAAATTTTGAGGCTTTAAGGACGGATTACTCTGTCAGCGCTGGGCTCCTCCTCAAATCTGTGACCTTAAGTCCGTGCACCCAGGGCTGGACGTTACAGGAAGACGGGTTTGACCTCCTCAGTGCACGACTCTTATTAGCTCTGCTGCTGAATACAAGTTTTTCTTGTTGTTTTATGTTTCTGAGCACTCCTGGTTTCCCATCAGCCCCTGTGTCTGGCTTTTGTTAAACATCCAGGGAACGCGTCTGTGCCGATAGTAAAGAGTCCCAGGAGAAATGTTTGGCTGGTCAAACTGGGCTGTAAAAGTTAATTATGTCTTGTCTTCAGTCTGTTTGACTGTTAGCTGCTCTGTGAGTTAGTAAGGTTGTGCTCGTCTGCCTCAAGAAGGCAAGTTTGATTTATCGTCTTCACCTTTATTTTAGAAAAGAGAGTTTATTTGAGAGCAGGAGCATCACATCACCAAGGTTTACTGAGCAGTGGCAGCAGCGATGATCAGACACCAGGAGAAACTGAGGGTATTTGGGGTGGAGGCGGGTTGCAAAGCAGCTGGCAGACAGGCCCGCTGTAAAGTTTACTGTTTTAGGGGAAACACTTGTCTGTTTTTGCCTTTGAGAGCTAACTGTGCTGGAACAAAGACCTCAGAGCCTTCGTGGAGCTTTAATGGATTTTTATTTTTAGTGTTCATTCTGCAGTCAGCTGACAGTCTGCATTCACCGCGTTGTTTACCTTGTTTTTCTTTGTTTGCTGTGGTTGCAGTTTGGAGCAGAGACGCAGCAAAGCAAAGTGGCTCCAAGCTCTGCAGCCACCAGACCAATCCAGTCCAGCAGAGAGCAGGTAAAACCCGCACACCTGTGGGAGGGGACGCCGACAGCCTGACAGACGAGTGAAGAACAAGCTGCTCTCGTTTCAAGTCTGTGGATGATCTGTGGGCTCGTTGCCCTGGAGTGGGCTTTTATCTTTTAGATAAACAAGCCTCAAAAAATGAAGGCGATCTATATTCATATACATGTTTTTGTTTCTGGTGTAAAAATGTTGATATTCTTTCATTTTGCCAAAAAGATGAGCTGATTAGTTTAAGACGAAGGTTAAATCAACATTCAGAACGCCTAAAGCCGAGATATGAGTTAGTAAAAGTTCAGTTAGGTCCGTTTTTATGGGAACGGATTGGCTCCGTTCCCAAACAGCAGGTTTGGAGGTTTGAAACTGACTGTCAGATTTCAGTAAATAGTCTGGTCCCAGCTGGACTGAAAACTTCCTGGAAAAAAACAGAACTTTTCATGTCCTGGCTTCTGATCATCTGGTCTGTGTGTGTGTTTTCCAGGGAGGGAAGAGCGAGATATTTGTGGACGTGATTGAGAGGATGACGGTCGTCATCGGCTCCAACGTGAGTAACATCAGCGTGAGAAGAACAGTCACACCCGAAAAGCTTAAAAATGGCCAGAAGTGTTTGTGGTGCAGTTTCAGACTCAGGAATGTGTTAGTGTCAAAAACATTTCATTACAAAAGATTTCTGAGGTGAATCAACCAAAACAGAGAACTTTGTGCAGAGCTGTTGGGTTTGTGCTGCAGGGACTTCTGATGAAGGCAGATGTGGAGGGCGAGATCAGAGTGAAGTGCTACATGCCGAGCTGCTCAGGTGAGACAGCTCAAAAAGAGGTTCAGCGAGCCACCAGGTGGTGTGTATGGAGGGTTCAGTCAGCTGGTCCCGTCCACTCAGACACATCTGACAACGGATGTGTCTGAGTGGATGCACTGACACTGTGGATTTCCAAGGATCAGCAGTGGTAAAGAAAAGATGAAGCATCGTATGTCCTCCAGTGAGTTGGAGGATTTAAAGTCAGTTGATGCTCGCCGTCGACTCAGTTCCTGGCGACCGATTTTACTCGTTTGAACGAGAGGAAACAATCAGTCTTCAGTTTTGCTGAGATGTGAAGTCGTACCAGCAACTTCCCATCAAACAGAGAAACGCACAGCCAATCAAACACAGCTGTCATTAAGGTTGATGATGTCATAGGTGGCGCACGCAGCAGCCAGTCCAATGAGAAAAGGCTGCGTCTCGTTTATTCTGACTGGTGTTGATGCACTTTTTGTTGTTGTGTTTATTATTATTATAATGTGAACAAACTGAGCCAATAAAGGTAAACGTTGAACTTTGAGCACAGGTCAGGTTTCCTCAGTCGCAGCTAATCGTCACACTGAGCAGCAGTAAAGACATCACAGCATGACAGCAACGACAACACTGCTAACTTAACCTGAACGTGAACAGTCCAGGTTCATGTTCTCGTCCAGCAGAACCGCGACCCAGTCAGGAACCATGTGCTTCATGAATGCTGCTGCTCGATCCCTACACAGAAGTTCGACTCCCCCCCAGTATCCTCTAAAGAGAAGTTTTTGTTTATTTCCTTCTTTAGCTCTCCTCATATCTGAATTAAACTAATCCAGCAGCACCGAGTGAACCAGTACAACAAAAATGTGCATTACAATATCAAAATAAACGTCTTATACGTTAATGCTTGTGATTTGTTTCTTTGTCTCTAAAATCTGAAGCGATGTCATCTTCTCGTCTCAGTTTGGTGTGTCTGTGCCGTCTCTTTAACAGAGATGCGAATCGGACTGAACGAAGAGTTCAGCATCGGCAAGTCTCAGCTCAGAGGTAAAAACGCACAATCACATCGCAGCCTTTCATTACTTTATTGTATTTATGTTATGTTGTCATCACAGAGTAAATAGAATAGAAT